ATCTCGAACGTAATAAGGGAACCATCCTTGGCGGGCTGGACACGAGAAACACCCTTTGTACCACCGACATTGCAGGCCATGTCGTCACTGTCGAGGCTGGGAACGGGGCTGCTAGCCTTGGCAGCGTTGGGGTTCATGCGGATGGCGACACCATCACCCTACTTATCGTTAGTAGACTGCATTTGGAAAGATTGGGAAAACAAACCTGAGGCATGCTGTCGATCATGAAGTCTGTGAAGACAGTGTGGGCAAGGGCAGCGGGGGCTGACGCCAGGGCCGCGAGGAGCATAGATTGGGTCTTCATGGTGAAAGTAACTTGGTTGATGATCGTATACGGAGTAGAGTAATTGTTTGTCTGGGAAGATAATTGTGATAGAATAACACACGGACGACGTTGTTTGGTCACTGGGACACAATGTAGGTGAATGAATGAATGTGCCGACTAGCGACAATGAAGGAATGGAATAGGCAGCCGAGCGCCTTGGAAGGAGAGACAGAAAGTCGGGTTTTGAAGAAGAGATCCTCGTGTGTGGTCGAAGGTGAAGGAAGAAAGCCTATTCGAGGGCGGCGGCTCGACGCTTTTGATTCACGAGCTTAGCCTAGACCAGTGGTGCACATCCCCCGAATCCTCATTACACCTGACTCCTGCAAACATCGATATCCCTGGGGTCTGCATCCGCTTTGCCGCCGTTACGGGTTTCGTTCCCTGCATCGATCGTAAAGGCGTTCGAGCCCGCTGTTCTGTTTCCTAGCAGTAACGCTGGGTTCCGAAGATGCTGTCAGCATCAGGCACCACAGGCCAATCAAGGCATCGTTGAGGTTGTGCCGCTGAAACATGAAACACAAACCGACTAATTTAGCGAGGCCCTAGTCGGGGTTCTGGTAAGCTCACCCGCTACCCAAGTGGATGGCGCTTTTCTCAGACAACACTAATTCAGGTACGGAGCCTTAATTAAACGAGTTTGCGCCTTGCGGGTCGATCTCGTTATCGGCCATGTGCAGATAAAGGCGCCGTAGAACGTCAGCAGCGGGGTTATGATGCAGTCCACCGATAGCAGGAATGTACACACCCACTCCTTGCCTGCGCGCTACAGATCGTCGAACATGGAAAGCTGTAGAAGTTTGGTTCAGGAGGCTGTTGGAACTTTGGCGGGTCAGGCTGACAGTCATTTCACAAAGTCACCCACAGTGCAAATCTCGGCCCCTAGTGCCAAGAGTCGCGCCGCCTCCTGGGGCCTATGTAGGACGCCAGACTGCGGCGAGGTTTGGCCCTTGAAAGTGTTGACACCACCGCAAAACACAATTTGGTCGTTGGGCGCAAATGACGGGATGGATGTCTCAAGTCGTGGTTGTCCGAGATGAGCGTGTACAGTTGCGATGATAATGTCGATTCTTTTTGTGAGGCGACTAGCCGCCAAAGTTTACGCGTTGTACTACACTGAGATTTCCTTCGGGATGGCTGTCATCGGTTCCCGAACCTCGCAATATCATGCAGGGGCTGAGATCTAGAGCCGCTGTTGATTTCCGAGAGAAAGCAAAAGAAAACAACACATCAAAGATGTCTGGGTGGCCCCGGCGTGTCACAACCTCATATGCCTGCGGACCCCTACCTGTTCCTCAGAACGCGTGGACCATATCCAACGGCGATGTAGTATCAGCGCCAGATGATGCCACTTCCCATGACGCGCGCTGAAATGTCAGAGACCGGCACAAAGCTCATGTAGGGAACCTAGGACTATTGTTGACGCCGCAGGATTGATCGGCAGAGTTTAGAGCGCGCGCTATTGACTGGTAACACTCTTAGAGTTGTTCCGATGATGTGTACTGAAAGCAGAACATTCGCCACAACTCAAGCGTAAGATGGTCTCTTGAGGCCTGGCCATGCGTGGGACGCTTGCGAGTGTACGTCCATACTCCCATGTTGCATATTGTGAGTCGACTTCGGAAGGTCTGCCTCCGCCTCCGCCCTCTCTAGAAAACTCTTCACAATGTTCCTGAAATCGGCCGTGTCGTGAGAGCCATATGTGAGGAATCGTCGCGTCGCCCACTTCACATGCGAAACCTTGATTCCATAGACATCACGGAACGGGAGCTTGCTGAAGCCGATCTCGATCCCTTCAGAGAAAACCACACCGTCACGCTGCTGATTGATGCGGCACACAATCGAAGGCTCATACTTATGCTCGCCATAGTCGATTCCCATCTCGCGGAGCCCTTGTTTCACGGCATCTATCAGCCATCGACTGCCTCTCTTAGTAAGAAAATGCAGCTTCTTCGAGTCGCCTAGTGAGTTCGATGGTAGCTGGCGCTCAGACAGGGGTTGGCCAATGAAATTCGCAATAGGTATCACGCCCATGCAGCGGTCCAGCTGAACCGCATCCACAGGATAAAAGAGGTTATCCCAAGGCAGTGGCCATGTGCTTGTAGATATCAGAGGTCCTAGAAGGAAGCCTTCTGAGATCGTTGTAGTACATTGTGGTCGAGGGCTCAAGTGAAGAGATGGACGCATCCCGGCAGCTGGTGGCAATGAACCGCGACCATCAATCCCGGGCATATCGTAAACATTGTTTCTGACTGCCATCATCAGGTTGCTCTTCTCAACGACATTTGTAGATGTAAAGATATTGGTCGGATCCATATTTAGCTCAAGGGTAGCCTCGATCCTCTTGAACACCCACAGCCAGTGATCGACGAGCCTTATTTCGGCGGCTATCCTTGAGGTACGGTCGCGCGCCACTCCCAGGCGACCAATAGATCCTTCATATGCAACGCAATACGCAAGGGCGGCGTTCGTATGCTGTTGAATATGTAGACAGACGTCCCCTAGCCACCGTGCTGCAGCTATATCACCATCGTCCAGGTTTTGACGATCCAGGTAGATTCCGTTGAACACGCTTTCGAACAAATATTTTGCTCTGGCGTATTTCCCAGTGTAGGAGGCACAAACTCCAAGTAGATGCCTAAGAATACGTCGGTCGGGCTGGGTCCCAGACCTAGATGTTTGTCCCCGTTCGACAGCTGCCAGCTGGTCTTCAAGAAGCTTCTCTGCAGTGACAAAGTCACCCCGAGTCCACGCGGCAACTATTTGTTGTGCGTTCCACTCGAGGTCCACCGGAACTAATGTTTCTTTCTCATCATACGTCCGAGGTGCACCGGACATTCCCATGTTAGCTGTAAAAGAAGGCTCTGGTAAAGAGGAACCAGTCGGGGAAGTAGGCGCTACGATTGGGATACTGTCCGTGGGCGTGACAGGAACCGTAGCTTTTGGGGATTGAACGGGAACGCGTCTGATCGCATGGCTGTTGGAGCCCATGGGAGTAGTAGGCTGGGACGCTGGGTGTGGCTCCGCGTAGAGCGATGATGCCTCCAACTCAGCAGGTTGGGACGCTTGCAAGGAGGTAGTCGAATGTGCTCGAGAAGTTGCTGAAGGGGTCAGATAGATCTGCTGCCTTTGCGTTATTGGCGGGCTAGACGCCAGAGGCAGCGCTGTGGGAGGACTGTATGAGCCCCGGTACGCAGGTGAGACGATCGCTGGCACATCAACACTATGCGGTCGTTGATCGAAGTCAAATTCAGGAAGAGTGGTCCCGAGATCCGAAGACATAGTTGCTAGACCATCATGCTCTGGCCGCTCCTCCAAAAGCCTCCCTTCGTTGACAGCTGTGACAAGCCAGTCTACGATGACATCCCGGTAGCTTAGAGCCTGCTGTTGTGATACTCCCACATCCTCGAGGTCGCGGAGAATCTGGCTCCATGCCTCCTCGTCATCGTCGTCATCGTCGGCTGTGCCTCCAGACGTGAGTCTCCCGATGGAAGCAATGCTCTCTTCGCGATGACCGCCTTTGTAGTCCTTCTCCAATCTTTCCAAAGCTTCTAGTATAAGAACCTGGCTATCGTGTATCAGGGATGTGTAGAAGGAATTGAGCATCGATACGCTCGCGATGAGGCGCTCTCGTATGTTTCGTGACTTCTCAGGGTCGTACTTGAGCCGGTCCCAAGCGCGTTTGGTTTTCGTGTCGAGCCCATTGTAGTGCAGCACCAGCTTATCTAGCTCTTCGAGCATTTCGATACACGGTTCGTACGCGTCGATGAGCTGCTGCCGCTTGCTCTCGGGGATCTTATCGTACTTGTCTTGAATGTCCTCGAGTAGGTTCGTTAACGTTCGTGCTTGCGATGTAAGATCCTTGTATTCGCCGGAGCAGTCGCGACCTGTGTTGAAGTCAGCACGATGAGAGCTACCTAGGTACGGGGTGGCGGGGAAAGCAGACAGTTCTTGTAGACTCTACCAGCTAGCTCGCACAGCTTGAGCACATCTCCAATGCTGATACCGAAACTCATCTCTTAACAAATGGAAGAAATACGGTCCCGAGTTCGCGCGGCGCAGCACGTCACTGGTGGCCATGTTACGTATGGTCATCTAGTGATGCACACGGCTGGAGGCCTAGACGACACCTGGGCATGTGGCTTGCAAGGGATAACTTGATTGGAGTTGGAACGGAACACAGCTCATCTCGCTCAGAGTTGTTTGGTCTACTTTCCGGTCGGATCCCAGAACACATTACTTCGCTGCGACCACGATCCTGTTATCTCGCTTTGCGATCTATGTTTCGACGAAGGCGGCGCGTCGGGTGCGGTGGATTGGGCGCATTGGCCTGGGCTGGCTGATGATGTCACATGATGGCGCTCGATGGGCCTCGGTAGTACTAATCAGGCCTAGTCTCAGAGGTGCTCCCCCATGGGCACCCAGGCAGCCCTGGAGGTGCGTTCCCACATAGAGACTGTAACATCATCCAGCAGATATCGAGACCTGTAGATAGCAGAACCTCAACACGACGCAGTCTAGCCTCTTTGTTCAAAAGCGCACAGAGATACTTCACAGGCAGACTTGCTTGCGACCTCGACCTCATTCAAGGAATTCAACAGGATATTTCAGAAATGATGGAATGCTTTCATAGAAGGATGTACCACGAGGCTGGCAATTCATTACGATATAAGTATGTTCAACCCAAGTTGAACTCGCTCGCCATACCCGCATGACGCATAAACTTCTCCTTCGCACGAACCGCCTTCCTCATCTTCGCCGCTTCATCCGTATCCGCGCCCTCGGGAAGATCCAGATCCACAACTGCCCTCTTCGATGTACCCGTATCAGCCTTGCGACTGGCCAGATCCACCTTCGGACCACCGCGCACCCTAGCAGGTGTTTTGTCGTTTCGTCCAGCACCTGTTCGTTGTCCCGGAATCTTCATTCCAGATGGTCGTTCGCGGAGAGCAAATGCTTTAGCCAAGTGACCCAAATGCATCGATTTGATATCGAAGTATTGACGTTCATCTGCAACGTGGGTTGCGTAGGCGCGGATGTGGCTTTGGAAGGCTCGTCGAGCAGCTTCCAGACGAGCAGGGGATGCTAGAGCCCAGCGCTCAATGGCGAGCTGGAGGTCGGTTGCTTTGTCCATGTAGGCGTTCTTTTCCATTACTCCGCTGGTTACCAATCCTCGGTTGAGGATGTCATCGGCATCTTGACGCACGACATGTACTCCAGCTTCTAGGTCTTTTCTGTCTGATTTTAGGATCTCGACGTAGCCTTCTTCAGTTCCCGGCATTAGGAAGATGCATGCTCGTCCGTCGCGACCTGCACGCGCGGTACGACCGATTCGATGCAAATGGTCTTCTCGGGCGAAGGCGGGATCAAATTCAATGACCAGGTCGACGTTGGGAAGATCAAGACCACGGGATGCGACATCTGTAGCGATGAGAACCGAGGGGTTTTTGTTCTTTGTGAATTGGGCGAGTGTCGAAGTTCTCACGGCTTGTTGTAATGAACCGTGGAGACGGTATGCTGTGACTGTGTGCGTCTTTGCAGAAAGTACGGGTGACTCCGCACCTGTCACTGTGAGCTTGGTGGGGTCTGCCTGTGTTATCGCTTTGGTCTTCTTTGGTTTCTTTTCTGCGTCGTCGGCGGCTTCCTCAGCCTTGTCGCCCTCCTCCTCTTCTTGTACCTCTTCCTTCTTCTTTGTCTCGGTGATCCCTTCGATTTCGCTGGTGAGCATGTCAAAGTGAAAGTCGACAGAGTCGGCACACGAGATGAAGACGATAGCCTTCATCACAGATCCCTTCCGCGCGAAAGCTCGTTTCAGATAGGCTATCAATGATACCAATCTGAGCTTCGGTGCCACCACAGCGTAAGACTGCTTCAACTGCGCTGGAGCAGAGAATGAATGGCCACCTCCTGGCTCGCTTGTTTCTGGTCCCTTCTCTGACGGATCGGCTCGAATGTGTACTGCATCTTTCAGACTTATCTGCCCAAGCCTCTCCACGTCCATTTTCATGGTTGCGGAACAGAGTACCGTTGTGCGCTTTTCTGGCAGGCCTGGTATTCTGGACTTCTCGTCTTTCCTCGCACGCATTCGCAGGTTCAATGCTCCTACAATCTTTTGGATCTCCTGCTCAAAACCAAGCTCCATGAGCCGATCACCTTCATCCAGAACGAGCCACCTGACATTGCTGACATCCAAAGCTTCTGTGTTTTCCAGATGGTCGACCAATCGACCAGGTGTCGCGACGAGTATGTTGATGCCCTTGCGTAACCGTGCCTTCTCAGACTTCTTCTTCTCACCACCAATAACTGTTGTAGCAACAAGCCAATGCGCGCAGCCTAAAAGCTTCTCCAGCACATGCTCGATTTGCTTGCTCAACTCGCGTGTTGGTGCCAGAATAATGGCAAAAAGACCCGAGTTTCTCTGCACGCTTTCGTCGACTTTGCGCTTCCTCATGTTCGCAGAGAGCTCCATGAGTCGCTGTACGATAGGTAGCAAATATGCCAGGGTTTTTCCCGAACCGGTCTCTGCCTGTATGAAGGCGTCGGAATCGTCTTTGATGAGTTGTGTGACGGCAGCCTTCTGAATCGCGGTCGGTGCCTTCAATTCCATCTTCTTCAGCAAATGCGCCGCAATAGTCGTGGACATGCCAAGGGATGTGAAGGTATCTAGCTCGCTGCTGAGTGGCGCGTTCGAGGGTTCTACGGGCGCATCGTCTTCGCGGCGTTCGTTCGCTTCGGGCTTCGTCTTGGATGTGGGATTGTAGGTGAACAGCGAGGAAATGACCTGCTTCCCACCCTTTGGCGCATTGTTCTGCTCGCTTGGTCTTTTCGCGGGGTTCGGATTCGGGTTCGATTGGGGTCTGAAGTCGACATCGTCTGTCTTCTCCGTCGTCCTTGGCCTGAAGTCTCCGCTCACGCGCGCTCGCTTTACTGGTCTGTCGCCGGAATCGGGAAACTCTGGGCTCTTCTCTACACGTGCCTTCCTCGGGCCTAGTTCTATGCGGTTTACATTTGTCGCATTGTCGACCACCTGTTTCGGTACCTTCTCGCCGTTCAGTCGTGCTGTAGCCTTGGTGTGCCAGTTCTGCGCCGCCTTCTTCGCAGTGAGTCGCTCCTTCCAGTTGCCGCCTTTGAATGAGGGTTTCGATAGTATGCCGCTGTCCGGTATGGAGAAGTTGAGGAGCATGCCATCGTCAGCCATGGTGTCGTATGTCGTCGCGTGTGGTGGCAGATCTGGCGGGGTGCTGGTGCGAAAGAGAGGGAAATCTCGAGCCTGGGATCTTTTTAGTGGGGCACTAGGCTCAGACGGGCACTCCCTCCATGATGGGACCTTCAGCGCAGAAACGAGTCGTCTTGACCTTTCTCAACTTGATCACCATGGCTGCCTCCTCGCTGACTCTTCGCGATCTGTCCGCTTCCGAGTTGCGAGAGAGACATCCTCGCTTCTTCCCCATTGTTGCGCGACGCGATAGCTAAGGCAGAGCTCTGTCCGCGACACTTCCGCAACTCTCCGCAATGGCTTCCCTCCGTTTCGCAGCCGGTGAGTATGCTACCCAACATACGCCATTGATCCAAATGACTAATCTCGTACAGTCCCGATAGCACGAAGATGCATGTTCAGCAACTTTGCGCGTCCACTGCAAGCTCCTATCGGCAATGGCATCCGATGCCTCTCCACCAGTCCATCACTGCGCAATACCTCGTCCTCCGCATCTGCAACGCATATCTTCCGCGATGTCGCGCCCTTACGTGACTTCCGCCGCGACCTACGCTCCAACAGCCGCACAGTCGGCCTTGTTCCGACGATGGGCGCCCTGCACGAGGGCCATGTCTCGCTCATGCGACACGCAGCTGCCGAAAACACCGACGTCTTCGTCACCATCTATGTGAACCCTACACAGTTTGGACTGAATGAGGATCTTGCCTCGTACCCGAAGACATGGGAGGCAGACATGCAGGTCTTGGAAGAGCTTAACCAGGAGCTGGCGAGCGCAAACCAAGGGCGCGTGACAGCTGTCTTCGCACCAACCACAAAGACCATGTACCCAACACTACCGCCGGACAGCAGTATACCAGGTGTGGGGAGCTTCATCGAGATGCGTCCGCTTGGCCAGCTTCTCGAAGGCGCGTCAAGACCCGTCTTCTTCCGCGGCGTAGCGACAGTCTGCATGAAGCTCTTCAACATCTGCGCGCCAGATCGCGTCTACTTTGGGCAGAAAGATGTCCAGCAAACTCGCGTCATCAAGCGCCTAATTCAGGACTTCCATCTGGATACCAGCTTGCGTATCATTCCCACTTCAAGAGAGTCAGACGGCCTTGCGCTCTCTTCTCGCAATGTCTACCTCGGCGCGCGTCGTCGTAATGTTGGCATTGTCCTCAATCAAGCGCTTCGCAAAGCAGAACTACAATACAACAATGGCATGAGGTTACGGAACGACGTCCTCTGGCCTGCTTTCGACCACGGTAACATGACATTGATCGAGCAAGAACAGATGGAGCCTAGCAAACGCGCAAAGTTTGAGGTCGACTACATTAGCCTTGCAGACCCTGACACCATGGAAGAGATTGACCAAATTGATGATTCGAAAGGCGCTATACTTAGTGGTGCAGTCAAGATGCTGCCAGTCGAGGAGCCGCAAGAGGGTGAAGATTTAGGCCAGCTGGACTCTGAAGGTCGACAGGTACCTGTGCGCTTGATCGATAATATCGTCCTGGACCCAATGAGATGAGAGTGTCTCCTAGACACAGACAATCATGGCACTCAAGGGCTATATCTGATTCAGGGTAATGGGCATCTGCCATGACTAGAAGCGCGCTGCATCACTCAAACGCGACCGAATGCTAGACCACCTCGGAAAGGTTCTTGAATCGATCATTTTTCACCACATCCTATGCAATGGCATGTCCATTCATTTCCCTTGCACCTCGATTCAGTCATGACTCCCGGCTACCAGAGCTGTCTTCGTGTGGGTACTACAGCAACGTAGCCGTTATGTAGCCGCAGATATCTTTACAGCATGCAAGTGTGCGAAACAGAAGTGTATCAAGTGACCCAGATGCAGTAGAAATCAATTGTCTGTTAAAATGAACTGTATGTATACTAAAACGGATGACCCTCATACATCCGCTGACGGAGACGATGTGCAAGCTATCTCCAGCTGCTTCTGACAATCGTCACACGGCGTTGCCCAAAGAAAAAACCTGTTCTTCAAAACGTCCGTTTAAGCTTCCGGCCAGTCATCTGCTGCAGATACTCACTTTACCAAGAACCGGTCCATCTCCGCGACTGCAGTCTGCAAGCCATTGCAATCCCTCCTTTCGCCTCTACCCGTCCGTCCGTCCGTCCGTCTACCACCAACATAATCTCATCGTACATACCGTACGCGCAGCATCGTCAAAGCTGAAGATCGCCACGGTCCGTGAATCCACACACAAGCCTGCTGCACCACCACCAACATCTCCCTAAGCGCCTGCACCGCTCATCAAGGATCGTTCCTACATGCTTCCAAGCTCTTTCTAGAAGGTAGTGGGAGCAGTGTTTGCTAATTTTGGTGACATGTGGCTTGATGTGGTTGCCGTGTGGCTTACCGATTGGTGGAAAATGGTGTTGTGGCGTCCCTCATGGGTGTTGGGAGATTTGAGTAATGCGACGGAGATTGTCAGAGGAGTGATATATGTGTCAGAGATGCTCTGGTGACCCTCATGCGAGTGGGGATAGGTCTTCGATGTTGAGGATGGCGTTCGACATGTGCGGATTGTGGAGATGATGATGCGGCCAGTGGGTGGGCTGGCAAGATCCGTTGAGAATGATGTGGGAGACGCGATGTATGACGGAAACCTTGGAACAGAAATCAATTGGCCCAGAAGAGTAGGAAGGCTTCAGGTTGAAAGGGAAAAAAGAGGTGGCTCGAAAACACGACAATACCAATGGATGCTGTATCCCATCGATGGATGAAGGCAGTGACCTCCCCGTGCTCAGGATCTACGTACCAATCTCGATGGAACCATCTCGCGTTCTGAAGGACTCGTCGTGCGCCCCGGAATAATGCGACGTTTGTGTGTGTTGACAATGAGACTCGACTTTCCCAAGTCCTCAACGCGTTCATGCGCTGGACAGTTCACTCCTTACATGCAGAAGGCGGGTGCGATCTAATGGACCCGCGCAACTTGGGTTGAATGGCTGAGCTTTTTAAGCACTCCGTAAAGATGAGTTGGAAAGGAAGATAGACGAAACGCACGTGAGGGAGAGGGTCCATGAGGCTGAGTGGTCCGAATACGTCATAAGAGCACACGGCCCAAGCTTCAAGCTCTCCCAAGGTCCCATCGCGACCACGTCCGGTTTCCAACACACCCATCAATGTGAGTGCGTTGTCGACATCTGCCGTGGCTGTTCCAACTATCGAGCGCCAGATTCAACCCATGCTGACCTACTTGTGACATAGGAGAACACGAATTTCGTACGCACCATTTCCCTCGAGCACGATGCAGTAGCCTTTTCACACATCGGTGTGCCTCCAGACATAACCTGCCGCGTCCTTTATTCACCATTCGGCCCGAGACGCGTCGAAGGCCCTTCATCTAAATCACCTCCTAATTGTTCTGCATACCTGCGATCACACGAATGTTGGTAGCTCGTGCAGTACTATAGTCACAACCTCACATATACCCCTATACTCCGTATTTCAAGATTCGTATAAGACACGTTGCGTTCTTGACAAACTGATCCGAGTCTAGTGTTTTGTGCCTCGATAGGGGCATGCAATAAGCGCATCAGGGTACGGGAAGATGCGTGAGAATATAGTACAGAACTATATCGCAGTCTCGTCAGCCCGGAGTAGATGCAGCAAGGCGTGTGGTTGTCCCTGGATTTCTTTTGCAGCTGCTCGACCGATGTTCAGAAATTGGCATGTCCATGCTCGGCACGTAGCGATACGTTAGATGCCAAGATGTATTCCAACACGATTGAGATCAAGCTTCTCCACATTCCGCTTCGTCGCCGCAGCCTGCTCCCGGAAGATCGCGGCTAAGCTCGTGAAGCTTACCCCTTATAAGCTTCAAACAGCGCTGGAGAGTCGGCCCTGCTGTCGCCATGAACTTCACCAAGCGTCAAACTTTTGGGCCTGTTAAACTTCGCAGAAGCCGCGAATGTCTCCAGCTGTGTGACCTTCGGGAAAACGCATGATGCTGCGTGGGGCTGCGAGCTCAGCGCGCCTGTTGACTTGGACAGTTTTCGTGTACAATCTATACCACGATATCACCTTGGCGGACCTGGGGAATATTGCCGGGAACCCTGCTTGTATTGCATACCCCACATTTGAAGACAAAGGCCAAAAGCGCAAAGGGCATCTTAATAGCTCTTTGCTATGATAATACCAATTCTGAATGATAGCCTGGTTTCGGAAAGCTTCTCGAAGGCCTTAATTGCTCCAGGACTCCAGGGCCGACGGTCCACGAACCTGTCCACTTGTTACAGTCTATTCAGGGGTGCCTGACAACACCTTGCAGGTAGCTATGAGTAGTTACGAGTACCTATAGGTATCTGCAGGCTACCGTCGGTATGTGGAGATCCGTTTTAGTCGAGAGTATAACGGAGGGCACATTCGTCCATGGTTGACCCGTCCTCACGTTCATCATGATAAAGTTTTGTTGTTATAGCTTCGCCCGGCCGATTATAGATGCGCGTACGTCTTCCCGAAGGCCTTGGGCTCGATTTGGGGCTGGATCTTGCGTTCGAGACAATCGCATTAAGGCGCTCGGCTTATGCCTTGCCGCCCGCTGCTGGCCGGGCGGGTGAGCTCCCGATGCTGCTAGGATGCCGTTCAGCACAGGGTACAATCCCGAACTACTTGTCGATCTTTCAACACTGATTCCCTTTTCACAACTATCTCGGTATGATAACTAGGACGCAGCACGTGAACAAGGACCTTTGGCCTACAGACGGGAAGTTCCATTGAGGAAACGCGCGAAGCGAACTTTGCGATGTCGCGTAAGTATACACAACGCTTGCATCGCGATCCCGCGCATCTACAGCAGCTCCGGTCTAGTCGAGCATGGCCGGTCGGAAGTCCAGATGTGGCTCCCGGTTCCGAGAGCTCCAGGCCAAAACCATGCAACCATTATCAACCCAATTATTGGCTCTGGAGGTGATGATTGGTTATAAAAATATTTTCGTCAATAAAAGACGACATCGGGTGATTGTTGGCGTCTACTTCGCATTAGCGACAACTGCCAGCCGTCCAGTATTTCGGAAAGAGGAACTTTCTGCAGGTGCTAGGGCCGTGCCGCTGTTCTCCTCGTGCATTTACGAATAGTTAGTAGTCTTGAACTGCATGCACGCAGTCGCTTGACCTGAAACGGCTTTCGCCTTCTGCCAACGCAGCCTTGGTAACTGCTTTTGGAACCGGCCTCCAGCACTCGATGTGCTAACAGAATGACTGCGTGATCTGGTCTTGTCATTGCGGGCTACGAGACTGGTTCGGAGCTTTGACTGGCAAAAACGTCGAGACGGACTCTGGGGTTGAATCCTATCGAGATGCAGCGAACCTAGCTCCGGTGACGCCGAACGCAACGGCATGTGGGTCTCGAACTCTCGACACGGATTATGACTCCTTCAGACAGAGTCCCAGCGTGAGGCTGACACGTGAAGATCAATAACCTTGTGAAGGGTTGCGGCGTGCCCTGCTTCTCGCCAAAGTGCGGTTACACCGTTGTGACGCTCCTTCTTACGGCATGCTGTCTGTAAGCAGCCTTCCTCGGGACGACCCTCCACATAGCCAAGACCTTCATCGGTCATTCGCAGTAACTTTGACGTCGCTTACCTCAACGTTACGCCATGCTAGGGTCTGGGATCGAATCTGTTCGACCTAGCAAAGCATCTATACCATAGGTCAATATATCCATGTGGCTGACGCCCGCTTCCTCTACCAAGACCAAGTCGACCCGCTATCAGGCTAAAAGCTGACGGCAGCCAAAACGGTCGCCCGTCCACTGTTCACATCCTTGCCATTGCCTTAATGGTCATCCCTGCCCGTTGATTACCGAGATCTAAACAAATAGCAGCGAAGCACGCAAGCGTCGAGGAGTACTTGTGGGTACAACCGAGCTGCAACCAGTGAAGGGGTACCCATGTGCCCGAGCTGCTGCAACCCCTACCTACCACGTTCCCCACATCCTGAAGCGTCGATCGTGTCGGTCGCTTCTACTTGTGGCCAGCTGTGGAAGCGCTCTACGTTGCCATCGCGTGCGTCTCGTACTCCACCGCGTGGTTCGATCTTAGCCACCATCGCATGTCGTCTCATTCCGGTCAGGGTCGACGGAGCTCAGTAATCTCTCAAAGACAGAGCAGCACGGATTTGGCGCAGCGCCTGCAAGCCTCACGCCAGCCGCACGCCATCTGACCGACCTAGAGCGTGCATGTCCGAACCACTTCGCCAGCCGACATCGCCCAAGAGCGCACGCCAAGAACATACTACCCAGGTAGGATAGCTCCAAGGGCCATAGCAGACTCGAGGTTCTGACATCCAAAAACCGGTTCCAGTTGCCCGTTGCCGCAACGGCTCGCGACGATCTGTCAGAGAATGACCCGTTCTCTCAGAGCAGGCCGCAATTCCGGATCGTGGCTGACTCTTTGAACACCGAGTAGCCAGTGAGCCATTGCTTGCTCACCGCATTCCGAACTTTGGGTATCCACGTTGATTGTCCAACGTCACCACGCGGCAGACGCAGCCCCCATGGCCCGCAGGGCGCGTACCATGCGCTTTGACATTGTCTCAGTATTCTCCGCATGCGAACTCGTACGGTAGTGCACAGTGCGGCGTGTGGGGTCTTTCTGCCCTTCGTAGACGTTCTCCTTTCTGTTCATCTCTTTAGATGAGCCCCTCAATATGTCGCAGCTTCCATAGAACCCCTAAAATGTGGAGAAGCACGTTGAGAAGGTGGCGCTCGCCCTGGCCACATGGTGCAGACGTGTAGATGGGGTGGCCAGATTGATTCGGTATTACACGCAGCACTACCGTGAAGGACTGCAGTGTCACCGTGATTTGTCTCCTTATGCCCTGGATTTGCTGTTCCTTTGTACTGGGTCATGCACAGATGTAGCGGAGAGTAGGGAGGGGCTCCGGCGCTGAGGTCTACCTGTAATGAAGGGGGCTTGCAGCGTGCATGTCATATGATCCTCGTTTTTGGAATCGTAGAGTTGAGGGCATTCATAACTTCTTAGTTGAGGTGTTAAGGCGGCTTGGACAATCTTGTTCACACCACCACTTGCACAAATGTTAGCATGCTGATGACGGTGAGTTACGTGTTCACAATCCCCTACTGTTGATGTGCTCCCCACGCTACAAGATCTTATCATCAGCTGTGAATATCGCATCGGCTCACGAGTCCAAGCCGGGCATCTGACTGTACTGTAGCCGATCATCTTATTCCAGAGTTCGATGCCCTTCTCCGGTGTACATGAGATGGGCATTTGCTTACATGGGCTCAAGCAGCAGGGCGTTTCGGGAGATGCGGGCGGTCACTGACCCGGCGAGTTCCAGGCTCCCTAGACGGTTTTGACCAACAACGCGTTCCAACACAGCTCAACAGATCTGGAGTGCATATCAGGGCAATACTCCTTGCATACCTTGATGTAGCTTCGGTGTATGCTCTCCGCACCCTCTGCCTTAGTGACACTTGCCTACGAGGGAAGTGACTTGTTCCTATCCAATCGCGTTAATATCCTGAATAGTCTCATGTCTTACCGGTCCGCAGCAGTGTTCCCATACTTCGCAGCTGGCAAACTTTCTGTCGTTGTTCTAACTAGGGCTTTGAACGTGCATGCGATAGATCTTTGGTACTGGTAAAGACACGCCCTCGTGCCGGAGATTATTGACGTTCCACCGGGTAGGGTCGTGGACCGGGAAGCCGAACGCTGGTATACTAAGACGAGGAAGGGCCGCATGGCAAAGCTAAGGTTTGGTAGCGGGAGGGCAAGAACGCATTGGGTGCCCAAGTACCGGCATCGCTCGCCAGGTACCACATGTGGTCTCGCACAACTTTCTGCAAATCCTTGACCTGACCAGGGTCACCTATGTTTGGTATACTCAGTTGAAGCGCTGGCAGCCAAACACTCTTGTCCCCGAGTATCGCCACGCAGCCATGGCATCACATTCTACCTTGACTGGCCAACAGGCTTTGGGTGGCACGGTAGTCAGCACAACAACACGTGCAGCCCACCAACCTCCACGGCCATGATTCAACTCCTCCACTTCCAATTCTAACTAGCGTGGGTGTCATGCTCGAAGCAGTATCTAGTCGTGTTCTGGTCCTTGATCCAGTCGAAAGCCCCGCAGAGGAAGCTTGGGGCTCGCGGAACGCAGGGGGGTACTTTTGAAACATCGAACCTGGCTATAGCATCATGAGACAATGTATTCAATATGTGGTCGGCCCTACACAGTGACCAGAACAAGCGATCATAGTAGCGATTCCACTGACTCGCTGTTGGCACGGCACAGGGCTTGCTCTGTACTTGTGTGATCTCCTAGGTGGCTCTATTTGGCCTGTAAGTTGGTAAAGGGCTGTTAAGTCAGGATTCTTTAGTTGCGTGTATACGCGAGGCGTGGCTATTGCGCTAACTTATCGACTACCCACTATTCTCCACTGTGTACTAGAACCGAAGTAAGGAGACGAAGGGAACTTCCGTACATGTACAGGGCGATATCATGTCTCGGGGTAATTGTACCCGGCGCTACAGACAAAAACACGTGAAGGACTTTGCGCTTTTCGAAATATGACGCACAATACTTGAGGAAACATGTGCACCAGGATGGCGTGCATAAAGTTTGGTACCAGAACGCCCTCGCAACGATCGCGCCGCCAGTCCGCACACCAATATCTCAAGGGGCAAACACATTATGGTATAACGCCGAAAACCAGTATACGTGAATTCGTACATCGCACTAATCGTGGGCATCAGCCCTGATGAAGCTAGGCGGTAGCCACATAGCCACTGGCCCGCGCCGGAGCAAAGGAAAGTAACATCGACAAGACGGAAAACATAGTGATGTCAGGGTATAGGGTAATGCTAGTAATGTACGAAAGGTGAGCCAAGTGGCGGCCCAAAATGATTCCAAATGTACAACGAGTCGCAGCCGAGCGAAAGGAATCCTGACCTCCCCTTAGGGAAGTAACAGGGCGTGTATTGTTGTACTGTTGCGAAAGGCGGTGTTATGGTTCCGGGATGACAAGGGTCGGCCAAGCGAGGCTCAAACGCGGCTCAGAGTGCGAGCCCTGTGCCGTCGCCGCTCCAACGATAGAGACTCAACATTTCGCGCCGACGCTGTTGCGCAAGTTGGGCGTGTTCGTCCATGCCGCGGCCGCGCACTTGCTGCAAAGCAGAACGCATGACTTTGCGGAAATTTCGCTGTGAGGTGTTAGCATGATTACTGATCTTGGCAGAGCGGTGGGGCCGGCAAAGGTTGAGGTAAGAATGACGGGCTGGTAGCGCCACTTACCTGATATTCGGTATTGAGGGTGACGATGCATGCTTCATGCGCGCGGACTATCACTTCGCATGCTCGCACGATGTTCGGACTTGCATCTCCTTGCAGCTTGTCGGCTATGAGCAGTAGCAGGAAACTTCCTTGCAGGAGGTAGATGCCGAAGAAAAACGGCATGAAGCTTAGGTCCGGATCGTATTCCAGAATCTCATTCAATGCTTCGGCGGCTGATACCGCATGACCGGTTGCATCGACGAAACTTTGCGAAGATATCCAGAGGTCGTTGTCATCAAGTAGCGAGATAGGATCCCATTTACCATTGAGCAGGATGTGAAGCGTGTGCATGAGATGCGTACCATACGCCTCCACAATCTTAGCATGCATCAATGACTCTTGCGCCCTGGACATAGTAGAGTTGACAGACCGCCCAGATGGTGTGTCGGGGTGTGATGGTTCGCGTTCAGCGTTGGCCTCGTTCACTGCGCGATTTCGTAGCTCTTGGAGTGACTGCCCATATACCACCAGCTGTTGACTGATCTCGAGCGCGTGGTGATCCCAGTCGGTCTTCGTCCCAAAACGAGGGTGGTTGCGCGCATGATATAGATCGGTAATCTCCCCAAGGATGGTCATCAAAGGAAGGAAAAATCCGAAAATGGAGTGTCCGGTGCACTCAAAGGCAGGCCCTCGAGATCGTCGATGAAGTGTGGAATCTGAAAACGATTGAGCGGAGTCCTCGAAGAATTCGCCAGATTGCCATACGTTATCGTCAAGTGGCTGCAGCAGGCCCGAACATTCGACGTCTAATAAAGACAACGGTCGGTTGTAGCATAACGCTAGGTGGCTGTTGAGCGATCAGCGTGTGTTGGAGGGCAGATCTGATGGATGCGCAAGAACGTCGGCAGAAGTCGAGCAATGCCATGCTGCGAATGTCACGGTTGACAAAGATCGGATGGCTTACCGATCAACAGTGAACAGCAGCCACCATATACGTCTGCGCTCTTCCCTTTGCTCTTCTGTGAAGTCCATGGATGTGTGTTGACTGGTTGGGTATCCTGCGCCCATATGTTCCGCATCAAGGTCTCCAGGTGCATCTTCGTCATTCGGCTCCGGAGGCGGTGTCACAGGCACTTCCTTGCCAAGTTTAAGCTCCCTAGCCAGTGACCAGGCGGCGTTCCACCAGCGGAGTGATGCAGCCTTGTACTCGCTGGCCGAGATCACTATGGCCAAGTGCATGTAGGTTGCTACGTCGTCAAGGCCTCCTGGTGCTCCCGCTGTTTTTAGTCGTGTTAGTGAAGGAAACTACGCAAAACTGAACATGGGTTGGTAACTTACGCAAACCAATGTCGGAATCTTGTGCGGGCATACCAAAACCACCCATGGTGACACCATTGATCGGCCCGACGCCGTTGAAAGCCGTCGGACTGGCATCGGAACCACCTGGATGTTGATGCACAAGAGGCTTCAAGAGACTGATGGTAAGGTTGATGAGTTTCTCCGATAATTGGCTCCGCGCAGATGGCGATGAGGAAAGATATGGAGATTCGCTTGTCAAGCAGCCAATCCAGAGCATACTTGCCAGCAGTGCTGGACTGCACACGCGGGGGTTGTTGGTGCGGAGGAAAGAGCGCTTTCGGAAGACGTAGCCTAGTACGTAAGGGGAGACTGGTTGCATAAACGCAGTTGATGAACTCTGGAAATAGAGCTCTAGTAAGTCGCAAGCTAGTGAAATCGGCATGACATTTGCGAGATGTGGTACTAACGGCTGCAGAACAGGGTATCTCAACTGCTGAGAGGGATTCTGATGTTGTGCGCCAGAGTACATCGTTGTAGAGGGTGAAGGCAGCATCCAACCAGGCGATCCATCAACTGGTGATTGAGGCATGTAACCCATGTTGGATGCCTCTTCGGGCATCCTGAAGGTATTCGTGGGTGCTTGTGTATGTGCGCTTTGTGGGCTCATCATACTGTAGGGGCTATCAGAGTACTCCATCCCATGGCCGTGCGAAGGTACAACGGGCTGCATTCCAGGCTGCATCATTTGGAGTGGCGACTGATAGGTAAGGCTCTGGTGGTACTCCTCGATCGACGTGTACTCGGGCATGGGGTTGTGCATAGACAGCCCTTGAGTCTGTAATCGGGGCGGCTGCATGGGGTGCATGGATTGCATGCTCTCGGTCATTTGATGATGCATATCAGATTCTGGCATAGTGTCGATTGCGCCCATGCTCATCGTCCTGTTCTGATACATCGACGCGGTATCCATCTCGGGTCGTGTTGTCGCAATACTGGCCGATCGACCAGGTAGCTCAGGCAGAGATCGTTGGCCTTCAGGAAGCTTGGGACTATTGCCGTGAACAGACTCGGTAGCTTTCTCCGACGATTGCGGGGTGCTGGAATCCTCTGACTTCGGCGCACCAGTGCCTCCTGCGGCGGTCGCAGCCTGCTGTTGGGCAAGATCCTTCCGCGATGCCTTTCCGCGTTTCTTGCGCTCACGTATGTACTCGCACGTCAATCCAAATTCTGACACTGTGTTAGCCAAGCTGTCAGAGGGGTAGTACATGGGTGATGGACAGCGAACGGCAGTTTTAGCCCCGTAGCTAAGAGCCTCTAGCAGACGCTACAAAAGTAACTTTTGGTCGCCTAAGCAGATGGTTCTCATCTCGGTTCATCCGTTGCCGAGCTCTCCATAACATCAAAACGTACCTATGCAATGCGCACACTACTCATACCGTTAGCATATTGATTTAGAAATCCAGAGCCTGGGAAAGGACCTACAGATTGTCTACCATCGCACTTCGTTCGCAACTGGTTACACTGATCACAGGCTCGGCTGATCCTGCGTCGCACTGGTCCAGACGTTGAGTTACCTCGTCCCGACCGCTCATGGAGCATCTCTCGCTGGTGCCGAGGCGCTATAGGACCACTGGCGTACGGTAACCGATGAGGCTTGACAAGTCCCTTTCCGTTTGGCAGCACATGCCGGTTCTGATGAAATTGTAGGGCTGCGTATTGTGATGTGTGCGCGAGGTTGTCGAGTGGTGACTGCCCCATGTGCTGGGCAGCGAGATGATGATGTTGATGTTCGACCATGTTCGGCGCGGGGAGGTGGCTGAACGCCGAGGGGTATTGATGGAGATTCGTGGAAAGCATAACTGCGTTCTAGCGTCCGTCTCCACTACAATTCCACCACTCGAGGATAGATCGGGAAGTGTCAGTTACGCAGGAAGTGACGGTAAAGTCGGAGTTCAGATTGTCCAAGGGGTGGCGAAGGGCGAAGAGCTGGCAACAAGGCTGAGAGAAGTCAGCACAGGGCTGGAATTCCAAGGTTATGTCGTCGAGGGACGTCAAAAAGATATGCAGGTCAGTTGTCCAAAGGCCGTCTTTTGACCACTGCTGTGCGCCTGGGGTACCATATAGCACTCGGTTGTTAGGTACTGTCTCGGCCTCAAAGCTCAACCTTAGTGGACGCAGTGGGCTATAACACAGAACTGTCCAGTGCCTGAGGTGCAGGGTGAGGATACCGAATCGGCATGGACAGCCAGGTCCTTTCTCCGGGACCAGCTGCATCGCGCGTTAGAGACGTCTCTGGCCACATGCTGCAAACGAGATGGGCAACAGGGCACGCATGTTCGTGGGTGCGTGCGCCTTCGAGTCTAACTCGCCTTCCGTTCCTCCATCTCTAGTTCGAGCAATTCACCCCTGCGCGGCCAGGGTTTCGCTGCACACCAACATTCCACGTTGAGCACAGTCCACGAACGCCGCTGGATCTTCGTTGCCGCGGACTTTTACGGCTACATCCCAGAGGCATCGCCGCAGGTTAGACTCGTAATCAAAAACCATATTGGTTGATCGGTGCCATCCCGACCCTATATGGCGTCGTGTTAAGAAAGGCGGCGTACCGATGCCGGCTCAACAAGTACCTTGGGGTACCTGCCCGTGCCCAGGACCCACCTGCTACCACACCTTCGCCCGTTTCCCGTTGCTGAGCGATCAGAACAGGGTGCCAGGGCCATGATTGGCGACCGCCGCCCGTGCAGCAGTGCGTTAGCAGGCGAGCCGCTGACAGCACGGGACCTGGCAGTCTCCATCGCCTAGACTCCCTTCTACGCGACCATCGCGGGACAGCCATTTCCTAGTCGCAGCCCCAATACGCGTCCCCTGGCTCGCGATGCATCCTGACATCCAGCGCTACCCGCTGTCCTGCCGGTCATCTGCACCCCAGCGAATAATCCGAAATCTGTTGGGGCCTGCGCTGATCACCTTCCCTCCTTTCATAAACCTGTCGCCATGGGGAGACGTGAATTACGCGAAATCAGAGAACGCGGAGATGCACTTCAGACGCTTGAAACGTTGTATTTTCCAGGTCCCACTTTCCAGCTCTGACGAAAGAATTGAGGACTAAATCGTCACGCAAAAAGCTAGCTTACGTCGGCGCTGGATACCCAGACAGTCTGCGCATGACAGTCTATCCTCATTCACTTCGGCAATGCATGTTATGTCTCTCTTCATAAACATGAACGAGCCAGGTTTACCACCTGCAGCACGCAGATATACACCTGCCAAGACAAAGCTGGAGTCGACCTGGTGTGCACAATTTTCTCGTCTATAACACGTTGTCTTATAACATTACACGCGGAATTACCTGGCATGTACAACGGCTCTCCGAAGCGAGTGGCGCCAGCGATGCTAAAAACGTGTGCTATGCGCCGATTGCTCCCACGGTACGGCCTACTCCGCCCTAGTTGTTAGCTAGAGCGGGTGTCTATAGTTTGGTAACGAGGGCGTTTTGCTACAGCGAGACTGCGTTGAACCTGACTAGCTCACCCACAACTGCCTGTACGATGTCTCGTGGTCAACATCCAGCTGAAAGATCTCCACAATCGTCACTGGGCGACAACGCTTGCTGATTAGGCATCCCCTATCTGCTCTACAACGCTACGGAGCCAGCGGATCGCTCCGCATTCCAAATATGTGCCGCTCTTCATGGTGGCTTAGAAGCGTTTTATTGAAGACTTGGCCTGCATTCATCCTGGACGAAGTAAGCTCTTTCAGTCAAGGTCCAAGTCGAAATCAAGGTTCTCGTTACTAGGTCGGATCCGGAACCTAGTGAGTCTGCATGTAGCAACTAGAATAGCTCAGGGGACTTTCACCATGATTGCTGTAGTCTCTGTAACGTTTCGAAATACCAGATCAGCCACCGAAGATGAGGCAATTCGCATGTACAGCCAAGCAATATTAGACGACCGTCTTTCACAAAGCTCCTCCCGCCCACTAATAGCCAGGAAATGGTACCATACTTAGGGTTCAGCAGAAAAAGAGTTTGACAGCTCATCAACTACCGATCGAAATATGCCTGCTCATATCCATAATTTTAATGAAGGTCAGGTGATCAGCCCCGATGATTTACGGTGTACTGGGCTCATCGCGTCTAACAGGTGGTATGCTGTGGGTCTTATGACAAACCGTTATAAGTGTCGCGTACCCGCCTAGTATGAGGAAACCGGTCCGGCGCCCAGTCTGTATCTACAAAGACCTGGAGCAACTGTATCGGATCATTTAAATACTGTTTCCAGCAGCCCTGTAACTCCAGGGACAGATTGAAGGGCCAAAGCTCGACAGTGATCAAAAGGCCAAGTTGTTACAGACGGTCATGAAGGCAGTGAATATTAGTGGATTGAAAGTCGCAAACTTCGACTTAGCTATATTGTCGACTTCGTGTTAGACACTTTCAGTCAACGTTAGTATTGCCGGCACCGTGTACATCGTCGGATCGTGTTTTCGCTGTCACTTTGACATTCAGGGCTGAAGAAGGGTCCAGGTGGCTTGGATAGTGGCAACCTAGAAGTGACTCAACAAAGTCCAGATCTTCGTGCTGACAGCCTTCTCATCGAAAGTCCGGATCGACATCCGCGGATCATCTGGAGGGGCGTAGGTTGGCAAGATACAGGGAAGAGTGGAGAGCCCTATCATGTTCCCCACTGTAAGTCTGTGCCCCAAGACCGAGTCACTGGACGATACTCTGTAAGGGACTGTCCAGCCTGAGCTCAATACCTCGTTCCTGTAGGCCACCATACACATGCAGTCTGGAGCAGGAAGGGTAGATACGCAAGGCACGACGGCTCCCCAGCTCCGAATTGGGCTGGCTTTGGTGACATCTAGATATTGCATGCGCAGCTCTTGACGCCGCCGCCGCATGCAACGCGTGGAGTTGATTGATGAGCGCAAGCGAGGGCCGGCCATGCCGCCAAGCTACGCACCGTTAGTAGAACCATGTACGACCTATGATCTTCTGCAGTCCATGCTGACGCTCAAAGTTGGAGCCAAACTCGCCACCACTGCCGGCGAGCCCAGAACGGTCAGGACACCCCCAGTGTCAGTTCAACTTTCGATACGGAATGGAACCTCGTGTCACTTGCATGGGCCTTTAGGGTGAACTCTGTCGAGCAGATGTGCTGTTTACCAGAACTGGGATGGGGAGGTGGCTCTTCTCTTACATCTCCCCGGCTGCTTTCTCCTGCGAAGGTCTGACCACAGTAGAATGATGAAAGATGGAAGGTGGAGGTAATTAGTCAAGATGAGTCGTGATGGCGCAGGTAACGGCATCCCTGGCCCGGAAGGGCAGCATACCTAGGTGCCACAGTCTTACAAGTCGCTCGGGACGTTACGTGGTGGGTGCGGGACCGGCTCTGTAGACCTTGCCTCCAGCGAGAGGTTACCGCCGGTACACCTGCCGAAGTCTTGTAGCTCTTATCTCCACACTGCGCGGGTGGCACTCTCATAATTTGGCAATGTTAGCGAATCGGCGACGCCGCACCAATATGCTGTTCTCTTCAAGTAATGAGGGCGCGGCGGCCATCGAATATGATTGCACTGTATTGAACGGCACACGGCGTTGCCTGATCGCTTCCGTACACATCGGCTACATGTTAGTGAGGTGATCAGAAAAGGCCCGAATTTGCACTATCTACACTCCAGTATTTCGACTTTAGCTATGAACACACCCGATTGCACAAGATAGGAGGTCCACGTGCGATTGAATATTACCAGGCTTGCGTGGATAGCGTCGGCGCGTCGATGCTGGCGACCAACGCGACAAATTAATGTTGTTCGACGCGTCTTTCGAGCATCTCGTGCGTCGAGCATGCTTCATAATGATGTTGTATGTTCAAGCTGAGTTTCTGGAGAGCATGCCATGGTGTTTGTCGATAGCGGACAACCAAGTCCGTTATTCGGCGTGAAGCCATGAGAGGCCTCCACTATGATGGGACGTGCACGGGCTAGCGTTAGCGCTGTCATACGTCATCTCCGATGCGACTGCGGGCAAAGCCTCAACTCAAAATTAACTGCTCCCAAGACGCCACTGAATCGACACGCCGTGCGTCTCCATCTCAATTTATCCAAATAAACTACGTACCAGATACACGCCATCATGTCGCTGGAGAAGATCACGACCATCTCTCCCATTACGAACAAGCCAGTTGTCACGCGCAATGGCCTTTCAGATGCAGACCTCCAATCTTTGCCTGAAACAGCCGCCACTGCGTTCGAGTCCTATCGACG